GTCTCAAATTTCTGGAGCTGTAGGAAGGATATCGGAATAACTGAAAGCTGTAGAGAAGCTAAATCTAGGTGCTGTAGAGAGGCTATAACCTATAATGATCAATGAATACGAAGGAAGCTGAAATAAGAAGGATAAAAGACAATTGTCTCCTGATCAATCGCCATTTCGTCCCTCCCGCGAGAACAGACTCATTGCGTATCAAAATGTGTCAGTTAGTGGTAGTGGTATCAATAACAATAACGATTTTTTATTTTTCAGGGGATGACTCGTCTTCCATGTTGAGAACCTCTGTAGGAGTGGCTATGGGTTTAAAACACAACATAGACTGTTCGGCGTGTTTGAACCACAATGGTGCTGTATATTCTGCAAGCGAAAGTGGCAACAAAATCACATAAACAAATCATCACCATAAAAATGTATAATATTATGTAGGAATTGAAAGTGCAATATTAAATAATGTTCTTGTATAATTATGTAAAAAGTAGTAAAGTATATTAAAGTCAATGATCATTATTTGTAGAACCATACCAAGTCAAAAGATGGTGTTAATTATTGCTTGTAACAGTAATCTGGGCTACAATATTTCAGTGTTCAGAAATAAAAAATAGATTCGTCCTATGTCTTTCATTGCAGCTTTCACTTCAAGCACACACCAGATCACAAAACCAACTGCAATCGACCGCCTCATGGATCAACGTTTATATTTGGTATTTGTAGATTGTCTTCTGTCGATCCCATAGATGACGTCTTCGTAGGAAGAGATGTTATTACCTTTACTTACTCAGGCTTATCCTTCAAAGACAGTTGGATCCAGCAATGCATTCGTGGCTCAGCCCAGAATCATTGATGAGATCTGTGGCGGGTCAAAAAAGCACTATCTGGTGTTGGTTCACGAATGCTTCGTTTTCGGGCTCTGGTTTCATTTAGTTAAGTTGCATTGAAAACTGCAATGAAAAACAGAGGACGAATCTCAATCGACAGTCAATGTCAAAACTTGATATGGGGAGATATCATCGCCTCAACATACTCAAACATATCTTTAAAAAACAGTTAGATCCAGAAATGCATTCGTGGCTGTGGTGTGTCGAAACAGCGATGTCTGGTATTCGATCATGACTGCTTCGTTATTGACCTGTTTCCATCTCAGTATGGAAAGATGATTTTTATTAGGATAATACACGACTTGTTACTGATGCTATTATGTGTAAGTTAGTTGCAAGATGTGGAAACCAACAAATGGAAATAACCACTCATGCGATGAAAAACTAATCGCTTGAAGGATTTCATGTTTCTTCACATGTTTCTATGATATAAGAGAAAATAGGAATATGTATGAAGAAACAATTTCTCAATCAAATAGAAATATTTCCCAAGATTATACCGCTTTAAGAATATTTTTCAAAAGGTAATAAGCTTACTCCAATATTTTACAAGCAAGGTGCTCTATAGTTCTTGGAAGACAAAATATCAGAAGCAATCACATCGTATTCAATTTTCCGCAATAATAAAGATATACCCTAAAATATCAAATAATGTCAATTTGACGTAACTTTCTGGCGGAAAAAGTATGATTTTGGTTTGATTATACTAATTTTTGTATGATCTGTCCCAGCTGTATTTATTAGAAGAATGAATTCTTACAAATCAAATTATATCTTGCATTCATCTATACCCTCGACCCATCATAATAGTCTAATCATTGAAGAATGAAAAAAGAAATCATCAATAACAGATCAAATCCAGTTAATTTATTTATGTCAACAGCTTTGATTTCAACCATTGTCTAAGATTAAATAAATCCTTAGACAATGATTCAACTATAACTTTGAAACCTAGGCAGACAGGTATACATTCAATCCTGTTTTCGACCTAATGGGTCTATTGAATTTCGAATATGCTGGGGATAGCGCCATCTCTCAATAAATAGCTGAAGTGACGAGCGATGAACGGTTCGCCATTGTATATAGACATTATCTTTACATTATATATAGACATTAGTCTATATACAAAGATTCGTCAAAGCGTTCTAACCGTATATAGAGTCTATATCCATAGGTATGTTCTAAAATGGTTCTAACATGTTCTAATATCAGTAGGTGTGAGAGTTTTTATTTCTTTCCAAACAAGGGCGCGAGTTGACACCAATTCTCATTGTCAAATGAAGATAAAAGAAGATTCATTGTTTAAAATTTAAAACATATCAAATTTAGCATTACTGCAGTTAGGAAGTGAAGTTATCAGTTTAAAAATAATTCATATCTAAAATGTTTTGTTTCCGCGAGATGGATGAAGCACACAATATCAAACTATAATCGACGCAGGATTGGGCTGCTGAATTCACAGAAATCTATTCAACTCAACCTGTTCAGTCAAACAACGATATAACCTTTGTATATCCTATACACAAAGATACAAGATACATAGAAACTCCATAACTTTTCGAGTCATATGAAAATCTTTTTCTAGGAAATGACGTTAAAATTACCTAATTTGACATTATAGACCATAGGGCATATGTTGTTCATTGCATTGTGATGGTTGAATTTAACGTCAGTTCCTATAGGAAAAAAAATTACAGGTGCGATCATTTGAATCCCCTCCCTATGTAAAATATGTTATCAAAAACCACAGTTCTCATAATTATATCAGAATATCAGTGTCAAAAACACTCGACCTACCGTACTCTTGATAAAGAGATCTAATGAATGTCAGCTCAGCAAGTATACCCACTGACTACATGTGAAAGTTTTCTTTCCTTATACGAGAAATTGGGCAAATTTCGGATATGCAGTTGGTTACTTCGTTCACAGGCAGATGGGGCGACAACAAACCTGTTGTTTGTTGTATGCTTCAGCTTAGTTCGAGGAATAATACTCTGACGGAATTCGATTTTCAATTATCAGAAATCATCGACTTTATGTTGTTGATATACACTACCTTGCACTGACGAGTGGCCAAACAGCCCGAAACCGATCTGCAAATGTGTTCCAATAATTGAAAATCTATTGCGGCAGTTGTATCGCCAACAGCATATGCAGGAATAACTTCTGTGAAGAATCCTGCACTGACACCTGTCGGAGATAATCCAACGCCCTTCGTGGTATTAGCCAAGGGAGTAGTTGTTGTCTGACAGGTGTCAGACCATTAACCTACTGTGTAAGGGAGTTGAGACTGGCCTGAACGAATTGTTCTTAGATAATTTAATTTATAGCCAGTCTTCAAGTATGCCCACTGACTATATGTGAAAAAATTCAATTCACGGACGTGTTAAAGCACACTGAAGTAACATTCCTTGACAATGTCAGTTGGCATTTCGATGTTTACATATGGTAATTAATTGATAATGTAAAAGATTTTTACATAATTATTCATGCATTGAAGAACTGAATAATTATTTGCAATTTTCAGTTATGGTAATGATTATCGTTTTCCAAAATAGAATTTGTGGATTTATTGCTATTTTCAGCCTGACTTAAATCCGATGGAGTCATTCATTGTTCCATTCAAAATGCTAGCGCTTTTCTATTGGTTGAATCAATCCATCAAACATTTTTCTTTTCAATTCAAGAACTAACCAAGTTTTAAAAAAACAGTAGAAGAGAGGGAACAGAGTGGGCGACAACTAGATTTTACACAAATGTATAGCCAGGTCTTCATGAAGACTAGTCAATTATCATTCATTGGACAAGTATAATTACATAAAGCGCTTCAGCTTTTCACAAGATTGGAAGTAAAAAAATGGCCATAGCATAAATTGAAAACCTACATGTTTGCATCAGCAACTATTCAATATATGATATTGATATGGAATATTGTACCTAAGACTAAACAAAGGCGTTATTCACCTCTGAAAATTTCCATTTTTCAAAATAACATTTTCTTTGTTTTCAGTACTATCTTGGAGTATTCTCCTCGAATACTTGAATACTTCTTGATGCCATGTTCTGATGCTACTTATGATCCATAAGTTTTTTTTTTTTTAGTAAGTATGCAAGATGTCTGATTGTATTGTAAAATCGTTTTATGTTCAATTCGAAGTACAGTGAATTCAGCTGCCCATCACTTTGAGGTTCAATGTATTCAATGTGTACTTCTGACATATGCCACTCTCGGAAACAAAGCGGGCTTAACAAATCTAATACTTCTGGTAAAAACTATATAGACAAGAGACAAATTCTCAACCTTCCTACTATCAAGATCAGTAAATATTATTTTATACATTGAATAGGAGTGATATTAGTTTTAACCTTGGAAGCAGATGTCCCAAAATAAATATTACTGGAGTTTTTTTCCCCAACACCAAACCGTTATTTTAACACCTCACACGTGTTTCGATCACCAAGTGATCATTTTCAAGAGGAAGATCAAACTGTTCGTGTTCCTGTTGGGGAAAAAACTCCAGTAATATTCATTACTACACCAAAGGTTCCAAATAGTGCATCACGAGCAGATGTTCCAACTGAAACCACATACATGCAGCTGATGACTCCACATGTTTATCTTTTTTTAATCAAATGTCGCTTGTCTTTGCACTTGACTTCCTCGAAATGATAAGAACCAATCTACTTCTGTGACAACCTGGTATTTTGCTCCTCGAAGACTTCATAAGGGATTCTCTCTTGAAAACATCGTCGTCCCAAATCAATGGATTGTGACACCAGAAATTTTCCTTCCAATGACTTTACACTGGAGATACTTTTCTGTGAATATTATGCTTTTAAATCTGTAGAAACCCGAAGAAAGTGTTGTTGAAATCTTTATTTTGAAATTTTGATGTGACTTTTTAGACTACTGACCCTTTGAAATGAATCAAATAGTAAATGTTACGTCAATTATATGAATTGAGAAATGTGACTCAACTGAGTGCTAGATCATATGAAAGATACATATGTGAAAAACATACATATCTGACTAATTTAATGTGTTCAAATCTCAGGAAATATGGTCGACGTGAAGTCGATGATTTCAAAACTGAATAGGGAAAATAAAACTTAGGTAAATACATTACATATTATCTTAGTTCATAAGGCAGTAATAACAAGTCTGGAAATGGAATGCTCAGTTTCTTTTGCCCACAATCGTATATACTAAATAGATGAATTGAAAAAAATGACTAGAACAGTTAAGGCCACTCATCAAGAGTTTCATCATGAACAGTGTGCCAGGTAAGTCCATCGCCGATAGGCTCATGGGCTGAAGGTATCATCACATGTTTTGCAATGGACCTGAAAAATAGGTATTTAAGTCACATATGTAGCTAAAGTTGATAAAAATATGTATTTGATGTATGTTGAAAAAATAAGGTAAATGTTCAAATTTCGCGCTATGTACACTCAATAAGCAATTTTTTATGTTGGTACACTTTACACGAATATATGGACACAGTTTCAGCTGTTTAACTTATTAGTGAGAGGCATAAAAATTAGAAGTGTTTTGCGTGTTCGGGGATTTTCTGCTACCAAGAAAAATGGATCAAAGAATTTGCATCAACTTTTTTCTTTACAAGTTTTGTGTTTTGTTCTCAAGTAGCACAATGTACTTATGAATAATATCATTCAGATAAGAAGGGGCTACATAAGAAAAACATCCTTGAAATTTGGAAGTACGGTACCTAGGTATGCTGAATGAGTTAATTCGCAAATTGACCATATGTAGGTATGTCAGAATGCCTGCTTAATAAACTATATAAATAACTAGGTGTTTTAGTTTGAAGCAACTTAAACAAAAATTTTTTTATCAAATATTGGACTCTGTACGTCACATTCATCACAGTTTCAGCTGTTTAACTTATTAGTGAGAGGCATAAAAATTAGAAGTGTTTTGCGTGTTCGGGGATTTTCTGCTACCGAGAAAAATGGATCAAAGAATTTGCATTAACTTTTGTCTTTACAAGTTTTGTGTTTTGTTCTCAAGTAGCACAAGCTTTTCACCGAAGGTCGCCCTGAACGCCCTAGAACATCAACAACTGATGAAAATGTTGAGAAAGTGAAAAAAATTGTTATGGAGAATGGTCGAATCACTATGAGACAAGTTACTGAGGATGGGCATGAAGCGTGTGGCAGCAAAGTTCATTCCGAAAATGCTGAATTTTCACCAAAAAACCGCCTCATGAGCATCGCTCAGGAATTATTGAATGACATCAACGGCGATGCAGATTTGCTTTAAAGCTGAGGGAAACTTCTATTGGAACTTCAACTGAATAGGTACGAACATACAGGATATGGAAACCAATTTAAAATAATACTGATTCAACACTTCTCTGGTTATCCTGAATTTTGTGAGGGAAGTATATTGTTATTTAGGACGTGTTAAGAATCGCACGTTGGAAGGTAAGACCTCGTTAGTCTGCAGCTTACACAAATTTTGACTTTTTAGGGTTGTCGGTCGTAAGACGGCAGCTGGTTAACAAAAAAACAGATTTCAACAGATTGTTTTCCAACATCTAGGGCGCAGACTGGCTGAAGAAAATAAGGTTTTTCAAAAAGTTAATGAGAAAACCGGAAACACAACACGCGAAATAATGAAGAGCTCAGCCAAATCGATTAATTCAAATTAAATTTGTCAATAAGATATTATCTTTCCACAATAAAGTATATTTTTGAAAACACATCAAGTGATGCAGCTGTTATGATTTTATTTTTTATTAATAATAAAAGCAAGCATGCTCATCCTGATTATGTAACGTCTCCCCTCATGAAGACGTCATCTATAATAGCAACCAAATTGAAATATCGCTTATCTAAAATGAATGAAGGTCCCTGTAATGGTTTGAAAGCAAAGCTTCAACATAAACCTCCGTATGAGAAATAAGTTCTGATTTCATCTAGTTGCCTGCGAGCAGTAAAAGCGGCATAGAAAGATAAAAAGCTATTACTAACTCGACAACCGTTGTCGTGGCCTAACTTTGAATGGACTGCTATATTCAATTCGAAAGGCGAGTTAAGTTTTCTGTCAAACCCGATAATGATGCCTTTTTAAACAGAGATGTGCATGTTCACCCATACCCCAGATTGATTTTTGAGGACACATGAGTCCAACAATATAATCTTAGTTCAGCCTAGCAACACTGCTGAAAACTAAGGCAGGATGAAATGACAGTGCCTGGTCATGAATCACAAATGATTTGCTTTTGGGTTCTGGTTTTACCTACTTCCTATCAAAATTACTCCTTTTATAAGTATTGATTAGGGCCCAATAAGCCAGCAATTGTTGCAACAGAAGTTTTTTACAAACTTCCTAGTTTTTGCTTAAATATAATATTCTCGATATTATAACTATTGACTTTTTTTCTTTAAATGAATACATTTATAAATTTCCATCACTTACTTTTTAATTTAGTAATTTTTCTGTTTGAAAAAAGTCAAACAATATCACAGAAACTTCATCAGCCTGCATCAAACATGCTCTTCGGAGCGAAAATAGCATTCAAAAAGTTTGAGTTTTGATAGTTCAATTCAGTTGTTTGCCTGGTATAAGGTCAGATGAAAGTATTTTGAAAACTGCGTTTTAAAACACATTTTGATTGTAGTATTCATAAAAATAGCCAAATAGGTCTACTTCAATTATTGTTCAACTTCCTATCTTCATCATTGAGAAGGAAAAGTATTGGCCCTATTAATTATTATATTCCTGTTATATGAAGATTTAACAGTCCAACTTCACTATTCAATAGCTGTTTGTTTTGTGATTATTGTTGGACACTAATTGAAGTTGATATTCCATACTCTTCAAGCACCCATTCGTAGGGGCGTACTTTTCCCTGAAAACAAGTAAAATTGATTCTACATACAATGATATTTCTGAAGCTTTCAATAAAGTCTATCACAAGTTATTATTTGCAAAACTTGAGGCATTGGGTACAAAAGGAAAGTTTTACATTGGATAGAAAGCCAACTCTGCCAAAGAGTTCAATACATTAAATATGACAACTTTCCATCAGGAAAGATTGAGATATCTGTGCCTCAGAGACCTCACATGAACCTACTATTGAGTTACTTATGAATGATATGGCTACTCATTATATATTTTTTATGTTTGAAAATGATCTGAAGATATTCAAAACAATTTGAAATATTGAAATGGAAATATTTTTAGAAGAGATAAATTTTTGGAAAAAAACGCTTTTTGGCTTTCTACTTCTCAATCTTCATACAAAAAATGTGGATAACTTCCAAAGAACAGAAGAAAGTAATAAACTTCAACAAATTATTTAAAAATATGGTTAGATCATGCCCAGCTGCTTCTTTCAGATACAAACTCAAGGAAAAAGTGCATAAAAAATAACTGCTTTCATGAATATGAAACATTTTTATCACTTATTCTATACATCATTTATACCAAATGTTTTTAACTCATGACAAACATACTTTCATAACGTGATCAAATAAAATATATGGCACGAATCAAATGAAATCAAAACGCAACCATCAGTTAGTAAATGACTCACAACCTTCTTAGTTTATATTTAGGATCACACACATCTAATGCTTTAATGAAACATTACCTGCCTTGTACCAATCCCAAGAATATTTTCCAATTCTTTTTACTACCAAAATTGTAAGGATTGACGTATATTCGGCCCATTTCTTGTAAACGCGAGGTTTCTGCTTTATTTATATTTGCCTCAATGCTTGTTTCACCTCTTCCAATCAACTGACTATGCCATAAAGATAGAAGACCCAAAGCCACAAAAACACCTAAAAATTTCAACAGAATCATGAATTTCAAGTGTGGGGAAAACAAATTTACAAATGATTATATAATTCGATTGGTAATAGAGTTTTCTGCAGTATAAAACAAAAAACTCTATCTATATTCTCAAAGTAAATCTGCAACCCAGAACTGTTCCTAAGTCTCTCACTATTTCTCACTATTAATTTCAGTGATAATCATGAAACAAACCAATTGCCCTTTACTAAAACGGAAACTACATGATCATCAAATACAAAAAAAAGCAACAGATTTTTTTGTTCTACTATAATTAAAACATCATTAACAAACAACTCACCACTATTGATGAGTGCCATATAAACAATTGCTCTTCGCCTCCAAGGACTTATATATTCTTGAACTGGTTCATCTTCTAATAACGAACTATCTAGATATTGTACATCAGTCTGGAATGAAAAAAAAATGTATATTAATGTTTAGAGTGGACAGTTATGTAGAAAGTGAGTGGGTCTATTCGAATGTTCAATGCAACTAGACAGGGTTTATTGTGGCTCTGACTTATTCAAATTCGGACAATTAAGTCCAGTTTCTTGGCAAAGCTGATCAGCTTATTTGGTGAGTGATCTTTCGAGTCCAATGGCAAGGGCAGAACTCTACTGGAAACTTGATTCAATCGTCAAGTCGCATCGGGGCAGACACAAAGTATGTGCTCTGCTGTAAATAGGCCCGTTAGACAATGAAGGTCATTTTTCCGGTAGTCTAATGATTGTTTGGTGACATTCTTTGAAAGATGTGTAAATGCCGTGGAATGAACTAATTCTGGTATATTTTGCCAGAAGCCTGAACATTTTCTTGCAATCTAGATATTCACTGTTTATTTGACAAAGACAAAAACGATGACAAAGACAGGTTCTGATTGGATTAAATCACTTGCGGTGGCCTCCCTTGCAAGGGAGTCAGCATTATAGGCCACTATGGCCAGGAATCCATACCAGAGACTAGAGTCTGAGTAGTATGTTATACTCAAGACAGAGCAACAAATTTGCAAAAAGAATGACAAATTATAATATTATCTTACCACTGGTATAAATGCTCCAGTTTTATTAATTTTGACGGAATGTCCTTCAAGTTCTGGTTCATCTACATCCAGAGGGGTGAGCATGATGGCTGTGTAAGCTAAGTCAAATCCACATATTATTACAAAAAATACACCTGCAACCATGTACACCATATAAAGAAAAAAATATCTATGATTTCGGAATCCGACACAGTTATTTAGCCAAGCTGAAATGTGTTATTTTTTACATATACTAACTGCTTCAGTGATTAATTCGCCCTAAACAGAAAAAAAATTATGAATTCCATATTACTATAATCATGCCTCATCATTACATACCACAAACAACAACTCAATTGAGTACATTACATAAAAATAACAGACATGTCTTTATCTCTCATGGTATTACCTGTTTAATTCATAGGTGTTGACCTATCAGCATTAATTTGGTGAGACATATGAAATTTGAGTAATGACAATGAAATTTAAGTTATAATTTCATTGAAAAAGTTATTTATTATATTCGTATACCTTCCTCTTCTCATTTAGTCTACATAGACTACTGGTAGACATACACAGGTTTGTCTTCTATGAAATTTTCCATTGACGTAACGTTTGTAATGTTAATAAAATAATTTCAACTCAAATTTTAGTCTTTTCCAAATTGATTATAATTATTTACAACATTATGGTTTTTCGATGTATTAATTTCGATTTTGGAGTGGCAGAAATAATTATACTACCTGTGAAACATAGGTCTGAAGCCATAACTATAATTTTGAAGACAAAAGAGACGATCCTGAAAAATATATGATGAAAATTTGATTTCATATTGGAGAACTGGAATCAACTTTGAAATTAAAAAATGTAACCAGTAATGTCCCATTATATAATTCATAACTTTTTAGGTGCTTTCATTTGATCTCAAAGCTTTTAAAAAGTAAAAATTATTATTCTTAACAGAAAACTGAAGATTTCTTCTGATGTAAATGTTCAGTACATTTGTAACTCGTCAGAACCACTTAAAATTGAAGGATCATATCTTGTGAAGATAATTTTATGTTGTTTTAAATGAAGTACTAGTAAAAACATTCTTGAAGTCATATACGAGTTCACATATGAAATAATTCATTTTTTGAAATTAGTAGCTAAAATTGTTTTCGCTGAATCTTTGTTTGAAGGTGTATCACATTCAATTTTTGTAACAATTCTCCTTTTTCTTCAACTTCATATAGAAAATATTGTTTTGAGAAGTTATCAGAATTATTAATCTAAACAATAATTTTACTGTTACTCGAGATATTTTCTGAAATAATGGTAGTTTAAACTAAAAATCTAACAATAGATTTACTTTCCTTAAACATATAAAAGCTTCTCATAACCATTTAAAATGACTACATTTTTTTCAAAAACTTACATAAACAGGAAAGAACAAAATAAGATAGTCACATACAAAGATGAACTCACCAATTTTTTAGCTTTTTATTGAATAAGGAAGACTTGGACTCAGAATTTTGAGTGGCTAGAGTTTTCAAGTCATTTTAAGTAAAAATAGTTAAAAATATAAGTTATTAAATAAGTTTGTTCTCAGAGTTTTGGAATCATGAAAAAAATATCAAAACAAATGTAAAATAGTTGAATCATTTTTTTCTAGGGGAGAGATAGATGTGTTTAAATACCCACTCTGTATAATGTATGTATTCTATATATCCTAGTCAGGAATTTGGTGAAACTAAGATGAGATAAATGAAAGTATATGGAATTTTTCCAGACACATATTGGTGTGTCAATATTACCTGTGGAGGATATCCGGGTGGTGTAACAACAGCCATATAGTAATGGAAACTTATATTCATCAACAACCAATGCCCAATTATGATTAGAACTACACAGACAGAACTATTTCTGTTCCACCAATATGGTATGCCTATCCAGTAAGCTATGAGCACTACAGATGCTGTCAGTCCTACCACAGCAATCACAAATAACTGAAAAAATTTGCAAATTTCAAGCTAAAGATATTTTAATAACTGAAAGAACATAGTCAAAAATGGAGCAAAATGGGTTCGAAAGTGGGTTTTCTCATTAACCAGCTGTCACCCCTATATAAATGATAATCCTTAAAAATGGAAAGTTGTTCGAACTTAGGTCAGGGCACGCTCTTATTTTTCAAACTGTGCTTCTTAGCAAAGGTAGATGATAAGCAGTGAGCATCTAATATCCTAGAGTTGGGATCGAACCCAAATCCACAATAGCGGTGATTTCACAAGTGAAGCTCATTAACTAACTAACTACTGTGTGACATCAAAAATAAATATTTTGGAAATTTTGAATATTGAGCATTATTCTCTTTTCCAATGTTTGATGTTCATTTGAAATTCAAAATGAAGTTGTTAGTGAGAAGAAATTCCCGGTTGATAGGCTATGGTCAAAAGGAACTTGTAGCACGATTCCTCTTGTATGCCACTGCGATAGACATCTTCAGAGGTATATGTGTTAACTCCGAGGACAAAGATACTACTTGCGTCCTCAATGTCTGATTAGTTAGTCGATGCTGAGACTATAAGAATGTTTATTTCTACAAGTTCCATTAAACCATAACCTCTACAATTGAGGCTCCAGCTGTGAAAGCCTTTGTTCTTATAGGTTATGATGCACTCCAGCGTTTGCATTCAGGTAGACAGTAGATATTTATAATGGAAAACGGAGTAATTTGACAATACGACTTTGGTTTCGAACAGAAATGGCTTGATTGACATTCAAACTACCTCTGTCAATCGTAATTTTAAAATAAATTTTAAATAGGACAAAATTTTTCAAAAAATATTTATGTATTCATTCATCTACTATGATTGACTTTTGAGTCATTCAATTGCCCCTAATTTTGACGATTTGGTCATCGATATACTGCTCTCAATGTAGTGAACATGTGATAGCAATTTCCACCTTTCATTTTTTTTTCAAAGGTTGCAATTGAACAAATATTTACTATGCTCTAAATTTTATTCAAACTGGCAATATTGTTTCTAACCCCCTGTATATCTTTTCAACATTTCTGATGCACCTTCTAGAGTCATTAATAATCAGTATTCAACTTTGGCTCTTCGAATATTTGAAGATTTTTATAATGAATCAAATCATGGTTTAGAATTAGCAACATTTTTCATTTTTAAACTGAAATATGCAACAAAATGGTTCAAAGTTTTCTAAATATAAGTATAAAAACATTTTTGTTGTTGCTACTAGGAACTCATGACTTTTGCAATAATGTTTCACTGAAAATGCTTTTGACTTCATTACTCACAACTTGCGACTCACGATTCAAGACTAATGCATGAATCCATTTGTACAAAATACAAGATTTTGCCCTAATAGTGGTTTCAACACATTTAACTTGAATGAATATTGTTGAAGCAACAAATAACAGAATACTTTAAAAAAAGGTTAAAAACCGATTAGCCTATTGAAGAGGATGTGACAGAGAATATGAGGTAAATGGAAAAGTCGAAACTGCCTAAACATATTTTCTACAGATCCTCGAAGGACATTTACTTACAGGTCCTATTGCGTATGTGAAGTTATCAACAAACCAAAACAAAGGTTCCATACAAACATCTGCTGCATAACTTTGATCCATGAAATTGTTGTACGTGAGAGAACGGAAGGCCAAACAACATTTTTGAAGAAATGATTTAATTGAATAACTGAAATTAATAGGAGTTTCATAGATGAAAATGAAATATTCTGGTTCCTATTCTCTATAACTCACTATAAAGTTTGAGGAATTGTTCCAAATGACCAGTGAAGGGTAACCATTTTTTAATTTGGTGATAATTTATGATACTGCCATGCATTACTTTCAATGCCTCCTGACATGTAGTAGCAGCCCTTTAGGGCGATCTCTTATCTGGAAGCATATTTATGAGGTAAAACTTTTTTTTTCAAATTTTGGGGATTTGTTTTGACTTGACATATCATAACCTTGTTCTTCTTCTTCTAGTTCTGGTTCAAGGCTCCACTCATAGACACACAGAACTGAAACTTTGGGTTTGAGTCCCGTGCATATGCATACAGGCCATCACATGTCTTTTAAAACCAATCACATGCGTTCAACACAAAATGAGGTAAAATACGTCATCGGTACATTTGTTATATATGTTGCATACATTTAGATCGTCAAGAAAAAATATTCCACGTTGGTGTCGAGGCTAAGGACAACGTCTACCAAGCCGACGTCCTGGGTTCGATTCTCATTCCGATAAACTTTTCAAAAATCAGCTACAAGGGTAAGGGAGCTAGGCTCCAACCTGATTGAACTGACGATGCCTATCGTCAAGAAAATTATTTGCTGTCTGAGCGAAACGCGATAAGCGGTCACACCTCATTTTTTGCATAAGTAGTCAAACATAGACTTTTGGTTCATTTTCTTATAAATAGTAAGGTGAAATCAAGTTCGAACCGATCAATATTTATTATTACTATTGCTTTTGAATGTCAGTTTGTCTCTATTTTACCAACAGACCGGTGAATTGAACGTCATATTAAAATGAAAAGAAAAAAAGATGAAACTTAATATAATTTTTTCAAACAATACACAATTTAAAAAACGTAAAAGTACAATTAGACTATGCTTTGCTCAAATTAGTTTTCTTGTCGTCTGTGCGGCAGCAAACATATAATACCATCATAATTTAGCCTTTTCGTTATGTCAGATTCGATAGATAGAAATCCACAATAGTTCAAGCTTTCGTAAATCAATGCAGTCCTAAGATAGCAATTGGCATTGTTGATAAACTCCTTAGTGTGATATTAGGATAAGGGTATAGGTTTTGCAAAACATTACCAAATAGTAGCTCACAAATTAAGGGTATTATCTGCGAGCGATTTTCAATTTCAATGGTGCTAATAAATACATATAACTGTAGACTTCCAATACTTAACTGTAGACTTCCAATACTTAACTCTTCTGAATATTCTTTGCACAATATTGCTGCATTTTCTGTGATCCCATTTTTATGTCATGTCTCATGTTTATCCCATCAACAAAAAATTAAAAAACTTGACTTAAGCACACTGAACACTTCTTTGCGTTTTGTTAACCCGAAACTTAGTCTATCAACAATGATCAAGTAGGTGTTGATGCTAAATGCCATTCGACCATTCAGCTCACTTCAATTCAATTTCAATGTGTGGTCTAGTCTCCGTACTCAGTAATTCCTGCCTTCACAAGGGCTCCATTTTCGTACATATCAAACTCGAATATTTATAACATATTCTAATAATGATCTGTACAGTTTGGCAATAACAGAAAGTTGACTATCCGTTGATTGGAGCGTTTTACCAGTCAGATTAAATCGTGATAGCAAGTCACACCACAAAATAGAAAGAATCGCTGTTTCTAACCGTTGTACTTGCCTGAATATATCCAGAAGCTTCAACTCTTGTTTTGGTCTTTCCTTCTTATCATTTATATAACACTTCATTCCAATTCTTGTCAGGACTTTCAAGAAGATGCGAAGACGGAGTTGGAACATGAAAATTTAGTTTTTCTTAAAATTCTAGAGGTTTTGAAATGTGCAAAAATCTCTCAGGCTGTATTATAGTCTTGTGATGTCAACACATTTCAGGTATTTAATGCTTTATTTATTCCAATGAAAAATAATTGCCAAAGAAGACTTCATGAATCAGCTGTAATGTTGCATGTTGTTGTGAAGATGGCATTGACAAGTTGAGGTCAATACCAGTTCATTTGTTTCAAGCAACAACTCATATTTTTATTACTCTTTGACTTCCGTAGGAAGTCATAACCTGAAGTAATCGTTGAACATCGTCAGAGTTAAAGTGGAGTTGGAAAATTATAGTTCATGTATTCTAGAGGTTTCAAAATGTGGTATAATGTCTCTGGCAATATTAGAGGTTTGTGATATAAACACATTTCAGACATTTGATGATATTCAAACGAAAACGTATTGCAAAAGAAGTTTTCGAGAATGAGCTGTGATGTTGCAATGTGAGCAGCACGTACGGTATTGCTTCGAGCGATTATGAAAGCCGTAAAAAAATAATTCAACTAATGTTCGTCAAATTACCTGAAGTCTCAGCAATATCGAAACCGATTCAATTTTGGAGATATAATTAATATGAATATTGTGGATCGAAAATATTTCTTCATACCAAAAAAATACAGCCAAAAATTACATTCGGAATTTTTATTTTTTTTTTCCGGAACTATTTAGAGTTGATTTTTTGTAGTGTTTTATTATCTACTACTCGCGCCCTGTATTACAGACACGGACAATATTAGTTATTGGATATTTCAGTGATGGAGTAACGCATAGATCTAGAATTCTACATTCCTAATCTCGGACTCTTGCGCGTTGCGCCGAAAATACACACATAAAAAAATCTAGGGAACTAGCTATGTAATGCCAAGTCAAAAACGTTTATTGATCTTTTTAAAAAATAATTACAAAATATTTTGTTGAAGTGTGTTTTGTGTGGGGCCCTACTGTAGGCTTATGCTTCTTAAGGGTTAACTATGTAATGAAAATATTCAGTTCATAATTGAGAGAAACGGAATGAAAAGTAAATGATATTTATTTCATAAGGTGTTTTCAACTACAAGAAGCAAACGTAACAGTTTCTTTCTACAAATTAATGAACAAGAATTTTTTAAGAATACAACTCACATCTTTCCACAAAAAAATAAATAAAAAGGCAATCGTAAGCAATATGTAGTGTGGACTTCAGCTTGGAATCTGTTGGGCATGCTTGCAATAATATTTACGATATCTCTCCGGTTGGTGGCAGTCCAAAACTCTGAGAGAAAGTTGTCTTGTATGGAATGATCTCTGTTGACTCAAGAATCTTCTTCACATGTTCTAAAGGAATGAGATCTGAAGATTGCGCTGGCCACAACAAAACAAAAATACTTTGGGTTTGTGCACCACCCTTGCTGTGTGGAGGTGTTCATTATCGCGAATGAGTTGGAAATTAGCCTTAAGTTTTGGTGTATATGGAAGCACAATAGGTTGCAGAATAGTATCACGGTAGATAATCGAATCGAGAAAGCCGTCCAGACAAATGAGCGCTGTTTTTCTTCTTCAGCTGATATCGCCCCAAACTATCACTGTATTCCCTTGATAGCCGTGCACCTCCTGTGCTGTGCGTCTCCACACATAAATCCTTCTGGAATCTGGAAAAATCCTCGATTCATCTATGAATAGCACGGAGCTCCATTCCTGGTGTCCTCAGTTGTGGTGTTCTTGTCTACGAGAGTGAATGAATGAATGAAGACTTACTCATGTTGCCTGTTTCACACAGTTTGGCCGCTCACAGCGATATGATGCGTATGAAGTATAGTTGATTTGCCAACTGAGGTGAAGCTCATCTTTGAGCTTTGATTTTGAGCATGATTTTAATCAGTGAGTGAATAAAACTAACCCGGACATATTTTTTTTTTGTATTCTCGAAACGAAATTCAAAAGTGTATATTTTATTCGACAATACAAAAAAATGTTTTCTCGAATTTTTCTCGTGAGCAAAAACTATTGTATATTGAGATAATTCTTGTAAACAATATTTTCATGAATGTTCATGAATATACCAGGTGTTCTTAAAAAGCTACATGAGTTTTAATTGTTGTTCTCTAGACTCTTTTAATGTGTGTAGTTGTATCATTGCTTCAGTTATTAAGCGTTTGGTTCTGACAAACCTGTGCGAGTAGTTGTGTCTGTGACTTGTAGCTTTTTATTGCTGATTCGACTTTCATAGGTAATAGTTCAAATCAGTCAAAAAAAAATGTAATACGTGATTCCATTAATGTTAGGTGGATTCCGAGAAAATAAAATGCCCCAGCGTCTTTTTGATGAGTTCAAGGTAATGATACCCCATTGACGGCAGGTTGGCTGTCCTTGTTCATCTTTCACTGCCTGAACTACTGTGCATGCTGTTTTTGACGAGTGTATTGTCTTGGGATGTGGGGGTTGAGCAAACCGGCCATCGGATGCCTGCTTCCACAGAATCACTTGTGGTTCTGTTATTCCCTAACTGAATGGCATCCCGACGATGGCTTAATCCTAAGGTGTGTGCGTATCCGTGCCGAGAGCATGAATGACAGCTGTCTCTACGAAACCTTCGAGATACCGGGCGCCCTCTCGTCGTAGCATCGCCTTGTCACGGTAATACGGGGCTCTGCCGTGATTGCTCTTCTTTCTCTAGCTATTCATGGGACTTTTATGGGCAGAGTAAACTTAAAAATTCTTTCTGATGCTAAGTCTACAGAGGAGATGGATGTCGAGCTTACGACTCCAACTGACCTCCCTATGAATTTAGATCAGGAGCGAGTATACGACTTACGATTACGACTCCAACTGACCTCCCTATAAATTCAGATCAGAAGCGAAAGCTTCTCAACTCTCCAACTCTTGATCTAATAACTGAACCTAAAGAAAAGGTTTGGTGGTGCAGCCAGGAAACGACTCCTCAAGAGCGGGGTACTTTATGAAACTGCCTTGCACCAAATTTGTGAGCAGCATATGCACAATCTGTCTCAGGTGGAGGAACAAACCCCCCATGAGCAGGTTAGCAAAACGTTTGCGCTCAATTGATGATTCACCAAAACCAGAAGCAAAAAAGCCCTGCTAGGTTGAATCTAAGGCTTCGTCAGGTGTACCTACGTGCAAAAACCCTCATATGGGAAGGTTGTCGCGGGTATCAAGGTGGGAATCTTGCACCCTGACCATCCGACTACCTCATTAACGATGAAACAGCAGAGCATATACATTGTGTCCGCCGCTGGGGACCGAATCCAGTTTTTAGAGTTCGGCAGAGCCGTACTCTTACTATCTGACCTAAAAGACCACTCACCATACAAACTAATCGGCTTCGTTAAGAAGCTGGGTTTATTTGGTCAAGTGTGAATAGGTGTGAGCCACAATAAACCCTTATGGGTTGCGGTGTAGGGTCGAATAGACACACTCACTTTGGACCTAACCTAACCCAACTCTATTGATGACTAATCAAAATTTGAGGAGAAATTTCGGGAGGAAAAAAATATTGAAAGTGAACAAAATGGAGTCACATGTCTAATGATGAAACTGCCGAGTAGTCAAAACAGTTTGGAATTCTATCATTTACTGGGAAGGATGGTGAAACAGTTTGGGAGAAACAGATGTTATAACATACTCTATACTGTTTATTTATTTGATGAATATAAATGACATCGATAGCCAAATAATTTGTACGTCTAACAGCGAAAATACTCCGTTCCTAGAAAATACGAAATACCCTCACGCTCGATGAGTGTTGCGCCGCCGTATCAAATCGAGTTCAGCGATGTCAAATTTTTCTTGTTTTTGAATGTAAATAAAAAAAATAATTTTTTATGACTAGCATTTTTAGTAAATTTTTTCGGCCAGTCGGGACCCTGGGCACGGACCCCGTGTGCCCTTATGGCAAAGACGGAACTGGAACTATTAGAAAAAAATCATCTTACTCAAAAATAAATTGTGCTACATCTACGGTTTCATAGCAGCCAATGTACACCTTCAACTTCTTGAATTAAGGGTTACTCAAAAATAATTATCATTTCGGAGAGTGCGTGAGGTTAGCGCTCTCAGTCCTCCGTCATTTTATATTATATTCGTCCGGAGTCAGCGCGCTACTTGTGTATTTGTGTACCGCACGTTGTGATTGATACAGGCTGCGGATTGCATCAGCTCTACGATATGGATATAGCGGAACTTCATAGTGAAGTTTTAGTCAATGAAATTAAAGCCTTATGGGTGTTTGCATACGGATCGCTGTGTTGGAGACCTGGATTTGAATTTCATAAGGCTGTCACTGGATTTGTTAAGGGATACCAGCGAAGGTTTTGGCAGGGAAATACAACGCATCGGGGTACAGAAGATCGGGTGAGTTTTTTCATTTTTTATACCTAGTTGTGTTTGAAATGAAACTTCAAAGTGAACATAATTGGAACTTATCACCGAGAGGATTTTCCTTGGGAAGTGTACTCGTACATTACAAAAATAATTCCCTTCCCATATGACCATTTGTTTTTATGAATGATCAACTCAAAATTTACTACATTTTGCGAATAAAATACAATAATATGATTGTTTTTTCAATTATTCCTACTCGCCTAGGTTCAGTTTAGTTTCAGCGTACCAGAAAAACACGTTTTTATATTATAAAATAGCACGCAGGTCACTGAATGTTTATTATTATTGTTAGTAGTGTTTTATCGAGTATGTCTAGGAAGTTGTTTAAAAAGTTAAACAGTGTGTATTATATCAAGTTTCAGATGAGGAGAGAATGAAAATTTTAGATATCAATGCATAGGGCTTTCTTACATTTCGTTCCAANTCTGATACTGGGTGAATCAAAACTCGAAAACAACTTTCTTTTGTTTTTTTAATGGGGTTGCATGAGAATATAATTAGCAGTTGTAGTGAGTTACCTATACCAAAACTGTGACCTTCGAACACAGTTTTTCTTTTGTAAAAATGTATTAAATGATTGTTTTTTTCGTTATTGAAAAGTAATCTGACTGAGATACTGGGAAATCAATGGTTGAAAATATTATTGTGTCATTATATAGATTTCGTGTTATAATTTAATAGAAGAACTGGAACCGAAATTTTTCGGTAGTATCCATCTTGAATAAACCTAGTTGACGAATTAAACTTTTTTGTACGAGTATATGTAAGGCAAAGCGGGTTCCCTTGTTTAGGATTTGGTTTAAATAAGCGTATGATCCACTGAAAGAAAAAATAGAAAAGAGTTATTCATAAAGAGTCATTGATTTATGTGACCACATATTAGGATTAAAACACTAAGACAACTCCGTTGTTTACTATAAACAATTTACTCTACAATGAGGAAAGTCATATGGCTCAGTATCCTCCACAGGCGGGGTCTATCGAACCACCCAAAGGGGTCATTCAAACATAAACTTCACTGTCACTTGCGAGCTCATTCATGGAAAGTAGTGCATTGTACCCAGTCTTCTTCTGGAAGATTTTTGGACATTTTCATTAATTTTCTCAATAGAGTGATTCTCTTCATCACACTTTGAAAAACTTTCAAAAATTGTTGTCTTTGGTACGTTTTTCATAAACTTTTCTATCTTATTGCTAGTTTTACTTTTATCAGAATGTTCTGAACCAATCGTGTTTTCACTCAGGACTGTATGTCAATGAAGCGTTTTTCTTTTATGAGTTCGCATTCTAGAATTTACGCGAAGTGTAACAATGACATTGAAATCCTGAGTAGATTAAATTAATTCCGTGACAAAAAGTTGTAATTTTATGAATGAAATCAGTGCTTCATCTTATAATGTTATCCAGATGTGGTACTGAAGAGCTGATAAAGGATCGAAACATCCGATGTCTACCAATGAGGATGACCTGCACCTATTATTAATGAAATTGTGATCAAATTATTATTCGATAACCTGTTTTTCAAAACATCTTCATATCAACATAGATGAGTTTTCATAAAATGGGAACGGCTGAATAGAGAATAGATCAACTTTTTGACGTTAATTTTGACACAACTTCCGAACTCCTTGGTATATATCCAAATTATCTCTTCATTATTTATCTTATACATGAAAAAATTGTTGAAGCAAATATTTGAAATGTTCTCCTTGAGCCCCCTGACAGTAAAACAGTTTATTTTTGAACTCATTTCTAACATTTTGGAAAATGTCAAAATCTGTTTTTCCGGTAACCGGCTGTCGCCCCTCTATGAACGACAACCCTCAAAACTCGAAACATGTGCGAGCTGAGGATTAACAAGATCTTAGCAGTTAATGTGCGATTGGTAGCACGGGTTGGACAATAGGCAGTGAAAATCGATCGTCCAGCCTCTGGCTCGAACCACCGTTTCACGTGAAGGTCGATTGAATGGGTGGATCAAAACACTCACGCCAACCCAACCGGCTATTGCCTCACCGGCTACCGTTTCTGGGATAATGCTATACAAAAACCAAAAAATTCTTACTGTTACTTCTATTTACTTATATAAATTACTGAGCCATATCTACCGAAACCGAAATAAACTGCCAAAAAATTCTGATATTCACAGCCACAACACAAGGCATAAAAACGACTTGTTGCAAAAAAAATCGAACCACACTTTCCACAAAAAATCACCTCTGATGATTGGAGTAATATAAAAAATAGTAACACGTACGGAATTTTTAAAAGTAGGTTAAAGAAAATTTTAATGAATCATTGTTTTTATAGCTTAGGGGAATTTGATGACTTCCTTTCTAGTAGTGTTAACTGAGTTCATAGTGTTTATTGTGCTTTATGATTTTTTTATATTCATATCAAGATGTCTTGTATACTTGTTTTATGTGTCATTGTATTTACGTGTATATATTCTATTTTGTCAACCTAACCTGTAAACTTGTACTTTAGGAGTCACTTTTTTTGTAGTAAGATTGTGGGGTTTTACACCACACCAGACACGTCCAATCCATTGTATAAGAGGAAAACGGATTTAATAAAATTTGATTTGATTTGATTATTATTCGCGGTAATTCTCTCTCGCAGTTCCGTATTGTACCTAGTTGCTAAAGATAAACTTTCGATTTGATATAGCGCTAAAAAAAAGAATCGAGAGGAGTCATATCCGGTGAACGAGCAGGCCATTCCAACAGACCGCGCCTACCAATCCACTCGTCTGGGTATATGTGATCCAAAAATCCGTTACATGCTCAAAAATGTGGCAGCGCATCGTTTCGTTGAAAAACAACTGGATAGTTGAATGCATCTTGACATTTCATGCAGTTCCGATATCCAATCAAACGTTTGGACATTAACTGCATTTTTCTGTGAGGGTCATCTTCATTCAAATTATCTCTGTAACTCGTCCGAGAACGGTTTTCTTCCAGTTCCTCTAGCTCTAGCTACACTTCCAGTTGTTTGAAAATTTTCAACCAATTCTCTGAGATATTTTCGGCAGATCTGATTATCAGGATATCTTGCATTGAACACCCTTTCTGCCCCATGAAAATTACGGCCGAGCTCGGCGTAAAGATTGCTTCTAATTTTTTTAACACGCTTTTATTAGCTTCATCTGTATGTGTGTGTGTATGTATGTTTGTTTGTAACTCTCAAGCTCGGGATCTGTATTTGACAGAATTATCGACATTATTGCTTGATCTATTCGCGGGCAGATGGCGCTGTACGTAACCTCGTTGATATATCGACATTATTGCTTGATCTATTCGCGAGCAGATGGCGCTGTATGTAACCTCCATGATATATCAACATTTTTGCTTGATCTATTCGCGGGCAAATGGTGGTGTACGCAACCTTCTTGATAAAATTCGAACTCACTTTATATGTATTTCTTCATTTGAAAAAAGTATTTTTTATATTACGCGCGCCTGCTGCCTTGGTCTTGGTAGCTGATTTTCAGGCTCCCTCTTCGAGATCGGAAAATATCATGCTTAAAATCTGTTTTTCCGTTAACCCTACGAACGACAACCCTCAGAAGTCGAAACTTGTGCGAGCTAAGGCTTATTGTACACACACCGATTGTGGACGGCCGATTTTATACCGGTCGTCTAAACTGCAATAGTGAACCACATGTAGGAACGGGACCTGGCACACATGCCTACCGGTGATCGACGCCGATCACGGGTATAGGCATGTGTGCCTATCATCTGCAACCGTTTATCCACATTAAAAACAGTAAAGTAAGTAATAAAAGTTGATATTGCCCTCTCTGCTTCGAGTGATGTCACATATTTGGCTTTTTCATCAAAAAGTGCTGAAAATGATTCCTTTTCATACAATTTTTGTCCTACTTTGTTGTCTTGTTCCGTTCAAAAGTTAAGAGGGGGGGGGGGGGGCTATTTACGTCGGTACTGTATAAAAGTTACACTCAAATGAATTAAGAAAATGGTAAAGGCAAAAAGTAAATAGGATATAAAGTTTTTCATCACTTTTTCGTGAGCTATTCACAAAAAAAATGTTTCTATAGTGAAAATAACACGATACTCATAGGTTATCGAGTATTCGATATTGAGAAATTTGATCTACTGGAGAAATAACGTGACAGAAACCTTGGAATTCATATTTTACTGCAAATGATTCTTTTACTGGACCTACTTTCACGCAAAAGGGAGATCATAAATCACCCTTCTCCCCTCCCGCCGGTTTCACAGAGAAAAACAATACAAACAATCGTTGTTTGTAGTGTTAAATGAATTTGAAGAATCAATAGAATAATTATGTACACATTGTTTACAGAATATGCATCTTCGCAAATAATCATCGTATTCATCATAAAAGAAAAAATAATTGGTACTAGTGCTAGATGATTCGGTTCTAGGATAGATTATCGTAAATGTTGACTAAAAACTACAAAAATTGGGTATGTTATTACACTCTATAGAAGATGATTGTTTGATGAGAATCAAATGGACATAAAGTTTATTTTAAATATGTCGAAAACGAACATAATTTGAGTTTATAGACCGAGATTTATAGTACAAAAGGCAACTTGGAAAATTGAGTACAAGAAAGTATTGTAGGTTGTTACAATTATTAGCCTTTTCAGGTTTGCATCATTTGTTGTGTTCAACTACTTCTTAAACTTCATGTGTTACCACTCGATATTGAATTTTGTTGAATACCAATTCAAGGAATATTTAAGAAATATCTTCCACACTATAGCATACATTGCCAATAAGGACATTCTTTCTTCAATTAATGTATTTCGCGAACTGCGATAACTGAATGCTCGATATTTACAGTCCAACAGTTAATTCAATATCATCACGTTCCACTATCGCGGTCCAGGAACAACTAATCAACCCAACTAAACATGTTGCTGTTGCAATTTGCAATTCATATCACAGATTGGTAATGATTTCGTTTGAACTGTTTGAAGTGTTAACAATAGGAAGTAGCACTTCATAATAGGTCATAGTCATCGTATCCTTTGTGCAATGATCTCTGACTCTATTTATAACCTCAAATGCGTATTTAAATTTCTCCATGGTCAGGAGACGGCTTCGCTGAATCTGAGTTGAGTAAATTGAATTTGATTCAAGGAGAAGTTAATTCTGAAACAAAGCGAAATTCAAAAATAATCATAACTCAAATGAGGGAAAACATTCACTTTTATTATTTAAATTTCGAGATAGGTATAAGAATCGCGTGCATTCTTAGCTTGTTGTTGTACTATTGTTTTCAAACTATGAAATCCCACCTCTTATACCCCTATACCCCCTTCCGGGTTGAGTGCCCTGGGATAAAAACTTCGCCTCACAAAATACATTTTGTGAGAAAAACTTAATGAATATCCCATTCCTTCCACCCCCGCTCTTACGTGAGCGGTCCTCAATCCTTGCTGATAGGCACTTCAGCAAGATTGACATCTATCCTCCTTTGGTCGAAACTCAGCCTTTAGATGCTTTTACTTTCTGATCTAATGGTTTGTTTTATCTTGGCTTTTTTAACTGAATTTTTGCATGGGGTCCCCAAAAACTAACCGGAAACTATTGTTTAAAAAGAGATCGCGGTCGCGGTTTAGTGTTTCTCGTTGAACCTGAAGAGGAAGTGTTTGTTATCTGTTAAAAAATGTTATACTTACCGGAGCTGCCTGGCAGCGACTCTCGGAGATGGACGTTGGTTCTGCTTGGTTGGACTTCTATGTTTATCTCTTTCTCGGAATCTGGGGTCATCCCTATTTAATGCATTGTGTAGATCGCGTAGCGCCGGATTGTCGTGCGCTCGAATTCTGTCAAACGCGTCTTCTGTGTGTTGTCTCATATATGCGTCTACGTAGTGTATGTTCAGGTCTAGATCCCGGAATATATACCTATTCGGTACATATCTTGGAGCGTTTACGCTCGCCCTTACGCACGCGTTCATAAACGACTGGATCTGTCTTCTGTATGTCGCTGCGCACTGACCCCAGGCAGTGCAGGCATACAGGATTATTGGTAGTAGTGCGATCTTTATCATCAGCAACTTCACTTTCATTCCCATGTTGCTTCTTCGACCTATTATTGGTAATATGTTTTGTCGGGCAGATCTCGCCATTCCTATTCTCTGCTGCACAAGAGACCTGAACGTTAATCTTTTGTCTAGGTTGACTCCCAAGTATCTAGCTTCGTTGGTCCACGGAATCTCTTGTTCGTTAAAGATGACGTTTCCTTCTGGGTGTGTTCGCTTTCGGGTGAACAGTATCACCTGACTCTTGTCGGGGTTTATATTGATCTTCCACAGGTTGGCCCATTTCTCTAATCTATCTGCCTGGTGCGCGTGGCTTGTTGATCTCGCCAGCAGAGCTGTGTCGCTAGGAAATCCGGCCACATCGATATTCTTTTATATCCCCCTTTGGCACTGGGATTAGATGAATGATACCAGAACAGTATCGGCATTACCAACGTATCCTATGGGTACCTGGCGGCCTCTCAGAGCATTCAGCCTTGCATCCGTGTAGTTCACTCCATGGATGAGGTCAACCCTTTTCCCCATACTCATGCGAACTTGATGGGCTACAATAACGAATAAGGATGAGAACTCTTCGAGTAACTCTTCTGACTCGTAATGGAAGTAGTACAAGCTAACCTACAATACATTAAGTGTGCTTCGGCGGTTCTTATGTAGGTTATGGGAAACTTTGATATTGCTCTGAACTTCTCGAGAAACGTCAAGGTACGACACTTCTTATCAGAATATGTATCTCTTTTGTTTTTGTGCGCAAAAGGGATTCGGCTATGAATAAACCGTACTACGTGTCCTGGAAAACTATATAAGCCTTTTCTTGAAGGATAAATAGTTACCAATAGAAAACTCTAACAGAAAAAGAGGTTTCTGCTCAAAAATAGTTGCAGATTGTAACTAGAATTGAAATATAAAGTGTTGATACAAATAACTGAAAACTAAATTTGTCGTATTTCACGACTTGTATACAGTTTTGATATCAAGTGGCTTATTGAGGGTGGCTTGTTCAAACTGAAATACACTGCATTTCACCAACTGTAGATTCAATTATTTTCATGAATGTATTTAGGTTTTTGATGCTCGTATTTGTTACTTTTCAACACAATTTTCAATGAACAATTTTACATCAGTATACTAGGAAATGAAATGAAGAATTTTCCTCTGATATGCATTTGTTTAAAAAATAGTAAGATTTTCAGTAACGAGTTTTTCCCCCTCTTGCAGTGATAACAGCTTGCAAACTAAGAGGCATGCTTTGGATCAGATTTTGGATTACATTCTGCGGAACCTTTTCCCATTCTGAATTTCACTAGTTCGGACTTCCATTGTCTAATATATAAAATGATTTGAAATCCCTGAAACAACTAAAAAAGAAGGATTAAAAATGAATAGCTGAAAATAACAATTATATTAAGCAAAAATAACCTGAAATGAAATGATAGTGGAATAAAATACAAGTAAAAATAGAACGATTCAACAAAAAATGAAAATAAAGAAATAAAAATGAAAATAAAAATAAAAAGTTGAGAGATTCCAAGCCATGTTAGTTCACGACGTTTCGAGTGTTAGTATCTACAATCGTCTTCGGGTGATGACCCATTCTTGTACCAGTATGTCGCATAGCTCTGTAGAATTACGGGGAGCCAGCACATTTCTTTGTAAAAATGTCTTGAGCTTATCCTAAACATGTTCAATTGTATGTTGAACCTCGTCAGGATACCGAGAAACAATCGGGGCAGTATAGGGCCGAGCATTATCATTCGTACCTCCATCAGGTACTAATGCGCATTCAATGTCCCATTATCGATGAAGACTATACTCCGTGCGAGAATCACACGATATGCCTTCCCATGCCATAACTGATCCGCAATCAAATGGAAGTCGCTCGGCAATACACGCTCGTCCAAACCAAGTGTTCTCGTGAAAAATTCAATCGTGCAATCCGATCTTCAAATGAAAGCGGTGGTCCAGTAGCTCTAGTTTGAGAAGATAATCCAGCAGCATGGAGTCGCCTCCTAACTTTACACTCACTTATGTTCACATTTCTGACTTCTTGCAGATGACTTCGAAGTGAAACTGCCGTAACTGTTCTGTTTCTTAAAGCAATAGATACGAGAAAGCGGTCAGCCCTAGCTGTTGCAGTCATGCCTCGCCCAGAACCAGGTTTCAAGTTGGCAGTTTCGGGGTACGTTGTACCACCGCCATACTCGTTGCACACTCGAGAGACTTACCCCATTGACAATAGTACACAAACAAATGGTAATTGACAGATGAAACTATAGAAAAAAAAGTATACTAATATTGGTTTTTAGAAATTCAGGCGAGGGCTCGTTTTTTGTCAAATGCTTATCGCAGAAACAACCACAACTATGTTTCTGAAGCGTCAGTATGGTACATCCAAAATAATTCAAATAAAAACATAAATAACTTCAACTTCAACCTATGACTCTGATTTTATGCCCGGTAGTGTATACGAGTATTATGGAACTGGTATATATAAGTTTGTTTCTCTTTTTCAGCCTGGGCGTGTTGCTACACTAGTAGAGGACAATCGGGTAAGTAATATATCATCGTTTTGGTATATTTTTACAATGGTTCAAGAAATTATTAGGTTTTCTAAGAGAGATAAATCTATCACATAGATCTTCCAATAATTTGAAATGTCCAAAATTATAATATTTCAAGATTTGTTTGGTATAGAACGCTTGACTATTCAATGATCAAATGTTTCCTTTGAAAACATTCCCAACACAAGAACAAAAATTACGGTCTCTCGACGCGCGTTTCGCTAACCAAGTTAGCGTCCTCAGGAGATCATTATGACTAAATTTTTCTATGTTAAGTGTTTCTATATGCTAGTGGCCTAACTACTACCTGTTAGTATTACCAAACTACACTGGTTAGTACCTATTAACTATTATTGTTCCTATACTAAACTACATGTTTTTAATACTTCTAATTTGTTATGTATTTCCTCAAAGTTAGTGATCATCTCTAATATTTATCGGTTTATTTAGAATTATTACGTATAAGACCAAACAAAGGGCTTTTTGAAATAGGACCTTTGTCGCTATTCGTAGAACTCATTCCGCACTTTTTGATTTCCAAGCTTTCGAAGGCATCCAGAAACCTGTTGTCATGTACCGGTCTCAACAATTTTAAACATTTCTCACTTATTCTGTGGTCGTTCTCCATGGCATGTTGAGTGACACTGGCTTTCTCCGGTCTATGGAACTAAACATGCGAAACGTGTTCCTTGTAGCGAGCTAATATAGTCCGTTTGGTAATGATCTCCTGAGGAAGCTAACTTGATTAGCGAAACGCGCGTCGAGAGACCGTAATTTTTGTTCTGGTGTTGGAAAAGTGTTTTCAATAGATTCATTTCACTCCAGAGGTTCCAGTACGAATTATCAAGATCAAATTTTTGTTTGGTCTATGAATTGTTGCTTCAATACCTGAACGTTCTCAACATCAGCTATGATTATATATTTGTTTTTATATGCATTGAAATCAGAAACCTTCTGAAAAATATATATATTGTTTATAAAATATGTATGCTTTGCATGACATTCATATAAAAAATAATGTTTTTCTTTGTTTCTTTTGAAAACATTCTTTATATATTATTAAGTACAACAACAGTACATTAGAAATTTACTTAATAACTATGGCACCACAGTTAGGGTTGATAGAAATAAAAATGATGGAATTGATAATCTGAGAGAAATCGTAGATATATAAGTTATACTCCAATCTATCATTCATTTGAACAGTACAACTGCAATTAACACAATTTTCTGCAAAAGAGCTAACAGAAAATTGAAATAATTGATGACGTCTAGCAGAAAGTGATGGAGATTATTCAATTATAGAGTCAGCTCCAGATAGTAGGTTAGGTTAGGTTAGGTCCAAAGTGAGTGGGTATATTCGACCTTCCACCGCAACCCGCAAGGGTTTATTGTGGCTCCCACCTATTCACACTCGACCAAATAAACCCAGCTTCTTAAGGAAGCCGATTAGCGTGTACGGTGAGTGGTCTTTCAGGTCAGATGGTAAGAGTACGGCTCTGCCGAACTCTAAAAACCTGATTCGGTCCCCAGCGGAGCAAGCACAAAGTATATGCTCTGCTGTTTCATCGTTAATGAGATAGTCGGATAGTCAAGATGCAAGATTCCCGCGACACCCTTCCTATATGAGGGTTTTTGCACGTCAGCTACACCTGACGATGCCTTAGATTCAACCGTGCAGGGCTTTTTCGCCTCTGATTTTGGTGAATCATCACTTGAGCGCAAACGTTTGTTAACCTGCTCATGAGGGGTTTGTTCCTCCACCTGAGACAGATGCGTACGCCGCTCAAGAATTTGGTGCAAGGCGGTTTCAAAAGTTACACCGCTCGAGAGAAGACCACTACCAAACCTATTTTTTTTAAATTTCAGTTATTTGATCAGGAGCTGATCTAAATTTGGAGTCGTAAACTCGACATCCATCTCCTCTGTAGACTAAGCGTCAGAAAAAATTTTCAAGTTTACTCTGTCCATAAAAGTCCCACGAGTAGCTAGGGAAAGAAGGTCAATCACGGCAGAGCCCCGCATTACCGTGACAAGGCGATGCTACGACGAGAGGGCGCCCGATATCTCGAAGATTCCGTAGAGACAGCTGATAGGCTCAGTGTCATTCATCCTCTCGGCACGGATACTCACACCTTAGGATTAAGACATCGCTGGGATGCCATTCAGTTAGGGAATAACATAACCACAAGTGTTTCTGTCATTTCTGTATCCAGCGGGGCTACGTGGTCATCCGATGGCAGATTTGCTCAACCCCCACATCCCAAGCCAATGCACTCGCACAGCATGCACAGTAGTTCAGTCAGTGAAAGATGAACAAGGACATCCAACCCGCCGTTCCAGATAGTAACTTCCATTATGTAATTGTTGTCGCAGAGAATATTGTGTTAGTGTTGTTGTTGTTGATATATATTGTTTAAATAATATGAGTGATTCTCACCCCGCTTCTTCAAAAGGTTTCTGATTTCGAATTATATAAAAAACAAAAATTGAAGAAAAATCATCAAAATCGAAGATTCAAAGATCATCTATTTTCATTATTCTTTGACGCCACTGAGTAGGAAACATTGTTTCCAACCTGTTGAGGTAATTCCATCATAACCTTTTTCAGGTTAGTAACTAGGCTGCAATGTTATCAATTGTTTCATGGTGTTTCTTTATCCTATTCTGCAGATCACTATAAAATATTTACAAAAGACAGGTAAACGAAGAGGAATCGTAGAAAAGGTTTTTTCTCAACCCAAAAATCATACCTATTCTAATTTTTCATTGTCAGTTTTGTGTGTGTATTTGCCACATGTTACTCTGGTTTTCCATTGTTACAAACTATTTTTTGCAGTTTCGCTACTTAGTAATGTCTCATGTAAGAAGTGCTCATTCATTGAGATGACGTAGGTTATGGAAACCAAATAGTCAACAAACTGGTTTTGGTTCCGAGAATCACATGAAATTCAAATAATTGTAGAGAATAAAGCAAGTAAAAAAGTTCCTTGAAGTATGTTCCGGCAATTAGCATAATAGATAGTGAAATCAAACAATTTCAAATATTCTTCAATTCTTGGAAGATTTTGAATTTCACAAATTTATTTCTATTACGTTTGTCTAGATACTCCAAGAATTGTAGAGTTGGATAATATGGAATTAAATTAATTATCCATAATAATATCTTTATCGCCACTATAGTTCCACCTTTTTCTTCCTCTTCAAATAGTTCAAGTTCTGAAAGTATGGTCGAAACGTAGCTACGAGTATCGACAGCTTCAATGCAGATGAATTTTATCACTTTCTACATTTTTATCATCTCAACATACCAGTTATGTCATACAATCAAATGGAAAATTCATTCTTCTTTCTGTACGAAAATGTTACAATTGGAAGTGCTGACTAAGAGTTACTTCTAGTTCATATGTTGCAGATATTAACGAAAGGAATATGATAAATATTGTTGCATTCTTCGGAATGTTCTGAAATAAAAAAACCGTCATCGTAAATTGAAATATTTAGTATCTATTGGAAAAATACTCTTAAATATAAAGTAAAATATTACTCATCCTCATCATGAAATTATATATTTCGTTTAAATCTTAGTTACCCATGAATTGAAAAGGGGAGTGTTTGCATTCCTATTAATTTAATATTTTATTGTGAAATTCATGATCGATTTTAAGTTCAAATGAAAATTTAGAAGAAGATTTAATTTTTAGGAATTTATCTTTTACGCTCTGATATTATTTACCTGTTTTGTATGAGAAATTACAGAGAGATAATAAGGCATTTGGTGGTCGATGTCAAAGCTTGCTCTGTATTAGAACAGTATGGCTTATTCTCGATGAATGGGATTTTCGTTGTCTGTCGAATAAATAGTAACCGCTCTCTCCGCTAGAAGTGTCCCGATGAGTTGAAATATTACATTCATAACCCAGTCGAGTACCACATGATATATGTAGCAGATCGAAACTACCTGGTATCATGATTACAATGTTTTTCGGCTGTGGTGTTATCTAGAGATTCTTGTGGATATTATGTTCCTTTAATTGAACAATTTACCCACAATTGTGATTTCCATTAAGCTACATTTGTAGAATTGAAGGATACAGCTGTGCTAATTGAGTAGATAAAGCTTATCATAGTAATAAAAACAGGCACTTCGTGATCATGAGTTGTAAGTATCGAGGTCACTACGATTGACTTATCTCAAACGTTGTAATGTTGAGTATGGGGCATTTTAGTGAAAATAAAAATAACAGTAAATACTGATATATTTGATTTTCCCAAATACTGTTTCCAGGAACAGTGATTACAAGGTCTCGCAGATATGCTGTTTGGACTTTGAATTTAATAGAAAATATGAATTCAACTGCCTAATTACTAAAACATAGTATACAACACTGCCAGGAAAATAAAAAAAGGAATACATACTTATTTCTTGGTATATAATCATCAGATCTCTCATCCAAATGCCATTTGAGTCTGATTTCATGGTTACCTATTTATTTTAGGAAAACGGTAAAAATAAAATAAATACAACAATAAAAATTAATTGGCGCTCCGGGGCGACTTCATTGATTCCAGTGGCGCATTTGCTTTTTCAGCTGCAGGAAAACCCGGAAAAAACCTGCAGCACCACATCATTTGAAGATCTTATATTCTTATATTCGAATATTCATTTAATACTCTGTTTGTTAGAGTCTAATAAAATTCTAACACCATTGGAAAATCAATCAATTAATTACATTTTTGATGTTCCTGTTAAGAACAAATAAGAAAAATAATCAAAATGGTGTATGGTAGAAGTAATCAGGTCAAGAAGTTCTACGAAGTTTGTTGGACTCATCCTATACATAGATTTCATTTTATCCGGGTCATGGAGTTCCCTTTTGCAGCTGCAATCATTCTTTGTTAAACATTTTCTACAAAATACGGGTGCACTACGAGAATACTAGGAAATAAGAAATGATAACAGCCTCGTCTTCTGACGACTCCATTTC